TAGAAAAAGGTTTCTCTTTCTATTCCCCAAAACATAACAATGGTTGCTTTGTTTCTCTTCATCTTTGTTGGTTCTATGGCATTCCACTTAGGAATGCAAACAAGGTGCAATTTGACAATACAAAGAGTAAAGATCCTCTTTAAAAGCCCTCTTTTGAGTGTCCCTGTTGGTTCTCTTCTCAGTAATGTTCTGGGCCTTGAGACTTTACTGCACAAAGGAGCTTCCAGGATAAGTGCTTCCAGATCCTCAGTTTAGCCCTCTGTTTACTGGGGGGAAGACAACATACGGAATTGTCCCTGAAGCAAGTTTACCTGCAGGCTCTTCAGACAACTGAAAAGTTTTTTTCAAATAAAAAGAACTGTGATGTACTACCCAGTTTTGCAACGACCCAGTAATGTCTTTCCACCCCCTTTTCTTGCAGTGTGTGTTGTGTTATACTTAGCAGTGCAGGTAGGTAAAAAGCCTTTCAAATGTTCAGCTGCCATGGGAAATACTGTTTCCTGAGACCATCTCCAAGATGGTACAGGACTTCTGACAAAAGTTTTTAAAACTGCATTTGCCCCATAATGGTCCAGAGGTAATGGTGGAGTAATGGAACGGTCCTTCATATGAGGAAGACACTGGACTCCACCATTAGTTGCTAAAAGACCTCTGGTTTTGTACATGTGGCTAATTACCGAGATCTGTTAAGGGAGAGTCTTAAACCTGCTTCTAAGATTTGTTAAAGACCATGAAAATACATAGGGCAGAATAGAGCTCTATTTATTGCCACTCAAAAGTTTGATGGGAGTAAAGGGTGGTACTATAGCTTTATTAAGCAAATTGCTTCTGTAAACCAAATGTATGGCTGAAAGTTTCAGGTTTGAACCTTGATTGTTTCTTAGTAAAGAAATCACAACTAAGAGCACCACAAATACTTTTAAAAAGACAAAATATTTCTAAAAGAAACATAACAGCCAATATATGTTGACTCATGAAACATGTATCTAAGAGTTTGAAAGGTTAATTACAAATGTTTCGCCAGTCTATTAAGGGACCAAAAATAAGCCACTCTTTGACATAATTTTTCTTATTATTTTACACCTGATTATTTGAGATCCTGTTGGATGTATTCTTATATCCACCCCTCTTTCCAACTGAACAAGTATACTTCTGCTTAGAAGAAACTAGTTATGACCTAGACCATAACTGTACTGGAGGAAGAGTCTATTTAGGTGTTGCATTTTATTTACTGGACATGAAAGAACACCTGTAAAGACTTTGTGTAGTTAATTGAAAAGGAAATGTGCAAATTTCATGTGTCACTCACAATTAGACTACAGTTTTTCATCAGATGATTTTTCCATGCCTATTTAATCTTAAGATTTAAATGTAATAAATTTTAGTTCAACAGGAAATTCAGTTACATGACTTCGAACAGTCCAAGTTTTTTCTTTCTGCATGCACAGTGAATTAGTGCTGAAGTATGTCTGTATTTTTAGGCTATGAGCTCTATGAAGTAGTTAGAGCTAATAAAAAGTAAATCACACTGAAATATTTGTGATACAGAGTGTGTAAACATCACTTGTATCAGTCTGCTTTGTGGAGTTGGATACATCATGAAGGGATTTTCCTCAGACTGACAGTAATGAATACGTTCCCAGGTTCTAAAATTAACTCTTCAAGCACTTTTGTTGGCAAATGTCTTTGGTTTCTGCCTTCCATGAAGATAAGAACAGGAATTTCCTTTGAACAGTACTGTAGAAACTTGCGTGTGTGGGTCTTGGGGTATTTTTCTAATTTTCTAATATTTCATGTCAACAACTGAATGATCATAACTAAAGCACATTGGTCATGAGACAGTGAAATCTGGTAGGAGTGCTCTTTGGATATTAACATTCTTCAAATAAGTATTAGCCTGATTTGACATGATTTGCTATGGATATGGACATAATTGAGGTCATACAATTTGGTAACTGGGAGAATGGAGAAAAACAAAAACAAAAAAAAAAAAAAAAAAAAAAAAAAAAAAAAAAAAAAACCAAATATTTTATCACTATTCTGTTTCTTTTCCTGTCCGCCCCCCTAGCCAAGACTACGGATTTCTTGTGTGGCATGCAGCTGGAATGACAAAGTCTGAGAAATACTTCCAAATCTTCTTGAAGTTTGGAAGAATCTAAAGGAATATGTCATGTTTGGGGGATAAATGAGAGTTCTGCTTTGTGTGGTGTTTGTTCCTTCTAAACCACTATGTTCTCTTTTCCTAACTGTTTTTAATTTTATAAATTTAACAACAGTCTTCAGTGTTAACTCTTCTGCTGTTCCCATGCCTGTGATGCCCCTTTTAAAGTAGCAGAAAAATATTTCCAAAGCTAATTTGTTAAATAGTATGTAAATTTTGGTAGTGTTACTGTATTTATAAATATTTATATTTTGGTAGTATTCTGTGCTGTGTGAAATGCAGCATCAAACTGGAAGAGTTTTGTGATGTGCAAAGTGATCTGTGAAATGCATTAGTAGCACTTGATATCTGCTTAAGTAACAGGCTTGGGAGAAGAATGATGTAACACCACATGAATGTTTTCAGTTGCTGCACTTCTTTGATTTACTGATATTCTGTCAAAATTTTAGGATCTCTGGTTTTTTTAGACTATTGTAACCACAAGAATTTCTGGAGTGTCTGTCTAGAAAGAGTAGAGTGGAGAAAAAGTTACTTTTTCCTGGAGAAAAACAAATCCAAAGAGCTTCTCAGTGTTCTGTTTCTGCAATCTGCCTTTGTGAACTCAAGACTGTTGTAAGGATGAACTGTACAGCTGCTGCTTCAGTCACCATTTGGTATCTAGATTGTGTCTATTTAAAACCTTTTCTGTGGATGGATGCTGAGTGCAGAATTTCTGAGCTTGTCTTTGAACTGTCTCTGCTGTGAGGTGTCCTAGGACTTCTAGGGCTGAGAGAGGTTTGAGCAGCCTCTGTGGAAATTTCTGCTTCTGTAGAGCATTGCTGAGGTTGTGTTAAGATGCAGAGCAGAAGGAATGTTCTTACATTTTTTATATAACAGGATGTGTGTTACACATCACTGCATGATTTAAGGGTTTTGGGACCAAAACTACTTACTTAAGTTCTCTTGGAAATCAGAGTGAAAACAAGAGACCTCAATCTTTAAGTTCAAGTGTGGTTTTGGTGGTCCTACCCGTCCTGACTTGCTGCAGATTTTGTTTAAGGCATTAAATTTTAAAATAGTAGTTTGGCATTTGTTGGCTTTCATCTTGCCTGGCGTGTAGAGGATAATAGGTGGTGGTCAGTACTTATTCTAACAGAACTTGTGCACAATTTATGCCATTCACTGTAACAACTTGTGTTAATATTAGTGCTAGTAACTGCTGTACTGTTGATGGCATTTATCCTAATATCTTTTTAAGTGATTTTGTTTGTATCAAAATTAGGATAGCAGTGTAGGGGGGAAATTACCTTATAGCTAGGGTTTTTTTCCCTTTTCCCTTACCCTCTGTTGACTTGATTGACATGTTCCTTTTGGGGGATTAACAAGTAATTTATAATGGGAACACTGAAGCCATTTAGAATTCTAATTACAGATTTCTAATTAGTTTCACAGTTTTGACCATTTCCTTACTGAACTGTCTGTTTTAGACTCACAGATCAGAATGCTGCATTCTTGAATTGGCCAAGAAAGTGAGAAGCATGTTATGTGATATTTATCTTAAGGAGTATTTCTTTTTTCAGTAAAATAAATGATCTTTAAAACACTTCCTGCTGCAAGAGTAAGCAGTAAAGACTTGGATCAGAGGAAGAATTTTGGAAGGTAAATTTCATCTCTTCCCCCTCGTGGATGTCCAGGTGGCAAACCAGTGTGTTTTTAAGTTTACTTGAGAACAGTGATTGTGGCATTCTCAGCTCTGTCCTGCTGCTCTTTCTAGCAGAGGCATTAAAGAGGAAGGAGTTTGAAACCTTGGTTGGTTTGCTTCAGGTTTGAATGCTTAAGTAGCAGATATTGGTAATTTCTGATTTCTTCAATCTCTTGTGAATTTTTCACTTCTCCTTTATAAATAATAACAATTTTAAAAGCTTTATAGAGTTCTGAAGAAAACTGCTGGTCCTTCTAATGCTTTTGGGTTGGAGCTTGAGGTACTTATACATTGTTGCTGTGACTACTGGAGTTTGAAGTGCAGGAGTTTCAGTCCGTAGTGTAGATGCTTTTGTTTCGTTGGTTATTTTGTTTTGTTCCAAGTGCGCTTCATTCTGCGTGTAGTAGGTCCAAAGGACATAGGCTTGCTGTCTCTTATATGGGAAGAAATTCTTTCAACCTACATGATGTGGATCACAAGGGTGTTCTCCATCCTTATTTTGTAGCAGTCCTTTGCACAACAGTTAAAAGTTGCATCCTTTCCATTCATGGTACTCCACTGCAGTTGAGTTTGTCACTTCTGTTTGATGAAACAACTTTTCCTATATTTTTTTCCCGAGTGCCAATACTTCTAGTTGTATGACAAAAACAAGAAGCAAGCAAATGTATACTGCTTTCGTTTTTCTGTCTTGCCACTACTACAGTGCTGCTAAGTGTGTAAAGCAACAAACTCTTCTGGTGCTTGTGGATTTGAATTTGTTGCATCAAGCATTCATGAAGGGCAATTTGTAGATGTCAGTTACTGCAGCATTACCTGTAGTTGTTTGCATAGAAACTTGTAAATGCATTTAACTTCTAAAAATAGAAGCACCACTGGTAGTCTTCAAATGCAAAGTTTTTGCAGTGTTTTAACAAAAACAATTTTCAAGTTGGAAGTAGCAGTTGCTACATAGCATTAATGATACCCATAAATTGCAAACAGATTGTAAATTATCTGTATCTAACTCTTAATGTCATATGTCTCTCTACAAAGGTATAATGAAATGGAGAGCACTGGAGAGCGCTCATTAAATCCGTAGTGGTAATTTTTATTTTCAAATGGCAATCTAAATGAGCTGTGTAAACTGTTTGTGTTTTCCAGACTACGTTTTGTGAGAAGATGAAGAAGAGAAAGCAATGTATGCAAGATACTGAGGGTCAAAAGCATGAAGGGATGGAAGGTAAGACTCTGTGCGTGTGAAAATATCAAAGTATATTATCCAGGTTCAGGCTGTGAAGGTCAGATTTTACATTTGCTTTCTGAATTATTGTGCTGCTTGTTTTGAAAGAAGTTGTAAACATAACCATATCTCAGCATATCTTTCTTTGGCCTGTGGGATCCTCAAATTCTTTCCCATCTCTTCTGTTTTTCACTTGTTAACTTCTAGTAGCAGAACAAAAATGGAGATTGCAGTTGTTATTCAGAAAAAAAAGAATTAATGTAGAGCAAAATTTATTGAAGAAAAGTTCCTGCATTTCTATAGTCTGAAAAAAAATTTCTAACTTTAACAAAATTTGGAGCACTTTTTATTTAAGGTACATGATTAGGTAAATATTAGAGGATGTTTGGACTTTAAAATAGTTCTAAGACTGGAAGACTAAAATAAAGGTAGACCATGTGTATATAAAATAATGAATATAAAGTATGCTGATCTAATTTATTTCCTGGAAAGAGAATGCAAACATCCAAGGAGAAAGAACTTGGGAGAACAATGTCTAAATGGCGACATGGCCAATAGGAAACAGTGGGTGGTGCTTTCTTAATTTAAGTAGCACTAGACCTAACTTACCTTTGTTTTAATGGCAAATATTGGTTCAGTAGTCTATGAGATATGCTGCATAGTATTTTTCACCTGAAATACGCTCTTTTCACTATTTCTCTGGCTGGTGTCTTGACTGCATTAGACCTGAAAACTTCATTAACGTGCTTTTAAGTACAGAAAATTTTCCCTTATTACCTTAGTATTCAAATCTAGAAGCACTTTGTTTCAAAAACTGTCAAAAACTGTCAAAAATGCTAAGTGTTAATGTTCATAATACCAGGTGAAGAAAATGAAGAAAGCTGTTCCTATTCTACTTTGTTATATGACGGTGACACCTGCCCCATCTGTTTGAACTGCCTCCTAGAACAAGAGGTTGGGTTTCCTGAGAACTGCAGTCATACCTTCTGCATGACTTGCATTCTTAAATGGGCTGAGGTAAGACTGAGAACCAAGGTGTGTGGTTATTTTTCAGTAAAATCTATTGCATCTAGTACCTACATTTTTTAAAAGAAAGAAACTAAGCTACGCATTCTGACTTCACACAGAAGTGTTTCAGTGACTGGTTTATAAACACCTCATAAGAAAATTCCTCCCTGGGGTGATATAGTATTTTATGCTTTTTTCACCAGACATCCTGACTTCCTAATGGCTACTACAGATTAGGGATCAGTTAAAAAATGTTGTTTGCCCTTTGGAAGATCAGACAGTATTACGTATGTGTCATGATACTGCAGTATCATTAGTTTAACTTTGTAGATAATTCTGGAACCTTAAAGAAAAATGACTTGTTGAGCAAACTCTTTATGATCTTGTTATGTTTAGTCCCTTTTTCCTCACAGATGTCCTGCAATGATTGCATTAAGTCCTTGGTATCTTTCCCTTTCCTGTAACTTTTTCAATTTTTAATATAAACCACCAAATTAGAACTGCTTTATACTTTATTGAGGGACTGCTCAGATGAGGTGCTGCTTTTTTTCTCCTGCTTCTGTGCACTTGAAATGGTTGACCATTGCAATAGAGACATAACTTTGCAGTAACTTTCTCTTGAAGTAAATTATGGTTGTGGCTTGAGTATGTCCTTTAGAAAGTTGGTATCACTTACATGTATGTGTATATATACAATATACTTATTTATGTATTATTTTACTTAATATACCTTTAACCTTAAGTTTTGTGTGATTCATTACTGAAGTCAGACAGTAACATAAGTAATTTCCTTCTGAAGATCCTGTATGGACTTTAGAGTATTAAACAAAGGTTATTACATGAAACTTGCTTTAGATAGTAAACAAGATAATAAACTACGTCTCCTGTTGTCAGATTTTCTGTTCTGGAAATGATTAGTTGCAGTACTTGTATTTGTAACAGAAAGAAAATTCTCATCCACAATTTTAATCTGACTTCCTTAGCTGCTTGTTAGAGTGGCAGCTGAAAGGCAATAAATAGTGACATGCACAGGGAAGCAGTGCAGTGGATGAAGGGCTTGCTGCTGGGTTTCAGTTTGATCACATTGCCTAACAGATGCTTTTAAGCCCACTGAGGAAGGGAAATCGTCTTGTTTTGAAGAGGCAAATGAATGATACAAGATTTTCCTTTTTATGTCAATTTATTTTTGGCATGAAGTACTATCCTAGTAGAGTAAAAGCAACTTCTGAGTTTACAGGTGAAGTAGAGGTCATGCCACAAAAATGTGGTGAGGGTGTTTCTTTTAAAGATATGTAAGGCTTCTGCAGCTTCTTTCTACTAATGACATCTGATGGGCTACACCAGCCAGCCTGCCTTTCTGAGGGCACTTGACAGTTGAACCTGTTCAGTTCATGAAACCCCATTGCCTAATCCAGTAGTTTTAATTACAAGTAAAGGGGAAAAATAGTGTTAAATTGTCTGACAGATGTTCAGAGATTTCAGCTGTGAGTAGCAGATGAGGTTTTACAGCTTGGAATGATAGAAACATAAGCACGTGGCCATTTAAAGCATGCTGCTGCCATGTGGGTTTTGTGTCCACTATTAATATTCAGCAAGTAGGTGTTTTTGTTCTTTTTTTGAGAAGCATTGCATAAGGTTTAGCTTTCTCTTCCAGTTCTTGGTTGCTCATAACTAACAAAAACTAAATAACTGACAAGTAATTAAAGTAAAAAATAAAGTAAAAAAAAAAAGCCAAATTAAATTTAACCCCCTCCGAATAAAGAAGATATAAAAATGTTCTGCTCTTCAAAAAAATATGTTCACACATTCTGTTCAAAGATTAAGTATTGTTTATAAATAAATGAATTTGTTTTTAAAACATTATTTTCCTATTTAAGAGCTGGAGAATAATGAAATAAAGAACAAGAATATTGAGCAAAATTTTTTTTAAAAAAGGTGTTCACATTACTTGAACTGCTTTTGTGTTCCTGCAGTTATGCTGCATACACTTAAAGGCTTTGCCAGCAGCCTGTGCTCAAGCTGGATGTTTCCTTTAGCTTTCTGTGTTGCATCTGGACTTCAAAATATAACAGGAGCCACTACTTCTTTAAACTGTTGTTTTCAAATTGTACATAATCATTGTTCTTCTGAGAGCTTATGGCTTTTATACAGAACTGTGTGGATTCTAATTAAAACCAGGGTAGTGTAGACAGATGGCAAGAGTTTGTTTACCATTCTGCTCCCTCTTCCATCTATGGGAGATTTTCAACATTGAAATTCCAGTTAAGAGTCCTGTACCAGCAGGTTTTTGCCTGTGAGCAGCAGCCATAACCCTTTGAAGATCTCTCTTTTTAAGAAGAGAGGGAGATAATAATTGATGGATAGATAGCTACTTAAAAACTATTTTTATGTATTGCTTTTAAGTGAGTATCTTCTGGTTCATTCCATGAAGGGTTAAAAAAGGATAGGAAAATTGCCACATAACATCTTATATACTAGATCCTGATGGCTAAATCTGAGCATTTAGTTTCAGAATTAAGTGGCGTAACAGTTAAGCCAGTGCTGTATTTTCTTTCCCTTTGAGGAAAAGTGTCAAACTCCTATAAGAAAAATGGGAGCTCAGAATGCCCACTAAGAAACTAGTCTTTGAGCTAAAATTTTTAGAAAGTCCCTTAAATTGTTCTGCTCTTTTTGGCTGTGTTTACTGTAGCTAATTGTAGCATCTGAGAGCATCACTGTGCATGAAATTCAGTTGCTTACACTATTACTCTCATATGCTACTAGACTCTCACCCTGTGTGCTTTTGACCATGCTAAACAGTGGTCTCCCAAGAGCTGCTGGGCAGGTAGACTGTTGGGGGGACCCCACCCCCCACCCCCACACTCCCAATGTGGAGTCTGCAAACACCACCAGTACTGTTGCGTTACACCAAGGGAAGTAACTACATTTTGTCTTTCTCATGTCTGTAATACTACTAGCAGATTAAAACGAGTTGGGCCAAAACTATACCATTTTTAGCACTGTTTTTCTGGTATGCTTGTATTTTGTTTTCCAGTCGGTAAGCGCATGTGTTCTGGTTCATAATAATTAGTTCTGAAAGCATTCAAGTATAGCTAATCTGAAGGGAGGTTAACTAGGTACCTGTGGCAAGCAGATATACCAAGTAGCCAAAACCACCTCAGCTTTAGCAACTGCTTTAGCAGCAATAGTATCTTGCCTGCATGTACTAGAGGAAAACTCTCTACTTTTTTGGTATTCTATTCAAAGAAAACAATTTTAAAATTAGAGGAGATAAATATTTACTCTGCTTTACTATAGGCCCTTTAGCTTCCTTTCTGTTCTTCAGAGGGATAATGAGTCTCCTATCCTTGCTTTTCTATTAATTTTTGTTATGAACCATCATGAGAGAAGAGCACTAAAGAAAGATTCAGTGTGTTGTCTGCATTGTCACAATGACTGTGAGAGACATTGATTTCAGTGACCCTCCCCTGCTAAGATTGTATCTCTAAGACTTGCACTTGGTTTCCCTCATTCATTTTTTTCCTCATCTGGATGATTTGAAAGTGGAGTATATTCAGCTGTGAATTCTCCAAAGCACTTGGGGCATATTCACATAGGGCCTGTGCAGTATCAATGGTTGACAATGTATCTTTTGTGCCAACCATTTATTTTTTTTTATTAGAATAGTAATTTCCCTTGTGTTGGTGTAAGATTTGTATCACTGATTATGGAGATTCTGCACATGTTTATTCTGGGGTGAAGCGCTGCCTGCATGGTAACTGGAATTCTTAATGTGGATTTTTTCTCATCTGGTTTTCTTTTATCCAGAAGGATATAAGAAAGAATCAGATTATGTGGCAACAAGCTCCACAGTGATCTGCAGTACACAGCACTGTGGGCAGGATTAAGTTTACATTCATGAACCAAATATCCAATGTGTTCACAGAAACACTAAACCTAAGAACTGAAACAACAGAAAAACTTGTTCAGGTACGTCCAAGGTAGTGCATATGCAGACAATGCATCTGAGAACTGCTGCACAGAAAACCTGTGTTAAATTTTTTCAGAAAATACAGACATTAGATTTTTTTCAAATTACATGCTTGTCTTTATTATAAATGGTTGTTCTTGGCATATTTCCCTGCTTAAGCAGAGTGGTTGGACAAGATGACCTCTAGAGGTCCCTTCCAACCTTAAGCATTTTGTGATGATTTATCAAGAACATTAATGCAGCAGCTTATGAAAGTTAATGTTGTTAAAGTGCAGTGCAAAAGTCTGTGTGTTTGAGTTTGCCTTCAATTCTTCCAATAATACAGTGTCAAAGGAATTACAATGATGCATACAGTATCTTTCTTATCATAGAATTCACAGATCCTTACAAATAATGAATCGTTTTATCCCTTCCTAAAGACCACCATTCCAATAGAACTTGTCAATACTTTTGGCAGTTTTGGGTTGGAAATTAATGTATGATGTAGGTAGATAGCAGACAACTGTTCAGAATTGTAACTAGGCAGTCTGATTAGGTGTTGAGGCTGGAATCTCTGTTCTTAGGCACTCTGTATCTTTACTATCTGTGAATGAGATTTTTAAAAAATGTAATAAACTTAATATCTCTTTTCAGAAATAGTGCTTTCCTAAAGCATAACTACAAAAGCTTTAAATGTACTTGATTTTTTAAGCAGACTGAAAAAAAAGTCATCCTGTCTTTCCTACATGCTTTTTGAAAATAGTTTGTTTCCTGATGTCTTCCTCCTTTTCTTTCATCAAAATGTGGAGGGGACTTTCTCACTGCATATGTTGTTATGGTCTCCCTTTTCACTGAAGTTGGAGGTGGAATTGTTGTGGGCCTTTTAGTGTAGTATTATTACTAAGTGGAGTGAAATATACAGAAATTACTTTTACAATCTAAACCTCACCTTTAAGCCTAAATTTAGTTATGAGGATTTGATATTATTTGTGTTGTTTAATGACTTTTCTAATAAAAAAGCAGTATCAGGTTTCTTTTTGGATCAACTTTTCAATACAGTAGTTGAAGGACAGACTTTATTACGGGCCATTTGAGGGGAAAAAAAATAGGGAAAGGGATTTACTCTAGCAATTTTAATTCTATACTTGCCTCTTGTTACTACTTGTTACAAAACCTCATAACATGGAATGTGATGAGATGAAGATATCTGCCAAAGTTATTTTATCAGCCAAATACATTATGGGGTTAGGTTGCACCTATTTGTATAGCTTCTGGAAAAATCCTGGCTGGATGGTAGCTCAGCCTGTTGTCCACCTCACTCTGTTCAAATGCTGTTTGAAGGGATATTAAGTTAAAATGAGGAACACTTACTCCTTGAGTTTAAAGATCCTGGGTTGGTGATGCTGTAGCAGTTAGAGGAATAGTGATCGTTACATTATGCCTGTGCTGCTAAAACAAGGATTCTTCCAGAGGGTTGTGTTTTGTTTGTGTTTTTTTTGTTGTTGTTTTTTTTTTTTCTTTTAAAATTTTGAAGACTTAAGAAGGAACACACACATGCTCATAGATAGCTTTTCTTGGGTTGCAGATTTTGTGAATGCTTACATATTTGATGAAGGGAATTCTCCATCTGAAAGAATGAATCACTGCTGAGTTACCAGTTTTAATGTGAAAACTGAGTGGTTTTGTGTGGAGAATAAAATAGCTGAAGAAATTTTGAAGTGTGTTGAGCTACTATTCTGTATTTTTCCAAGAAAAGCACTGTTGAGAAGAAAAGCAAAGCAAGTCACAGATACCAGCTGTGAGGTTCTAATGATTTTGGTGATTACATTAAATACTACATGTTCTGATTTTTAAACAGCTATGTTGAAGAAAGATACTGTATGAATCTAAGGTTCTGACACATCCCACATCCCTCCTCCCTTGTGCACAATAAAAGTGGCAGCTGCTGGTTGGACTCATTCCATCTCGGTGGCTTTTTTCTTGTTTTAAATATTTTTTTTCCCCAAAAAGGACAGTGTACATTCACTATTACTTCTGCTACCTGAACAGAAGGCTCAGAAGAATAATTGTTAACTTGCCTTGGATAAAAGAAGATTCAACACCACCTTTGTTGCTAAGATATAATCTCCACAAAGATAAAAATGAGTAGAAGGCCACCATTCCTCATGATTGCTTCTTGTGAAAATGTAGCCAACTTTTTTTGCCCTTATTCCTTTCTGTAGCAGCACAAATTCAGCATTGCTGTTGGAAAAACACACAGGGGAATTTTTTTTTTGTTTTTTCCCCATTTAAAAGGCTTGCTCTTGTATGCTAGCAGGCAGATGAGAGCTGATGCGTTTTTAGACAAAAAATATATAAGTGAAGTAACATCTAGTTTATCTCAGGGCTACCTAATATTTGGTACTGTTCTGTCTTTACTCGTCCTGGGACTGTTCTGTCTTTACTCGTCCTGGGACTGTTCTGTCTTTACTAGGATTTCCCTTGAGATTTGTCGCAAACTATCAGATAATGCTAGGGCTATGAAAAGCAACTGAGTAGGAGTGGAAAGAGCATCTACTCTTTCTGAACATATCTGAACGTAACAGTGGCTTTTGATTCTTCCAGAACATTTTCTTTTTATACTGCTATGTATAACTGTATGTAGTTGTTAAACATTGGTTTGGAAGAACTGAGCATATAACAGTCAACGTTTTTTCTAGTGGAGCAAAACTGCTTGTCATTTAGATTGCTGCTAGTAGCACTTAGTATTCTATGATACTTCATTGCAATGAATAAATACACTGTGACTTGGGAACATAACCTAGTATTCATGTGTAAATTTGATGTAGAAACAGATTGTATTCTTGGAAAAACTTGATTTTCATCTAAGGTAAATCCTGAAAGGAGACTAAAATGGGAAAGAAAATTAACTTCCTCCTACCTGTTTTTGACAGTCTGGTGTATCTAAGAATCAGAGTATTTACCTTAGAGTTTGCAGCTGATTGAGCCACTGCAGTGCATTGCATGCTATCGGATACCTCCACTGAACAATAAACTGCTACGTTACTGTGGGCTGCAGTCATCTTTATGTTGACTGTGGGACAAAAACTGTCTTCATGATCTGAGTCTTTAGGGAACTGGCTTAATTACTCAATGTACTTCTGTCAAGGCCATGACACTGCAGGGAACAATGGTGTCCCCTAACAAGGGGGAATTCTTGGTTAAGATAAAATATCAGAGCATCAGAAGGAGAGGTAATGGCTTTAACTTACATTCTTGTTCAACAGCTTGTTCATGAAGTTACCTGTGGGTTTTTAATGGGTCCAGCTTCTTTCTGTGTACTTCCATTGAAATCAGAAGCTGCTTTAATGCTGAAGGTTCAGGGGCTGTGTAGGTGACAAAGAAGCTGAGCATTCTTAGAAACTGAGAAAAAAGCCAGAATGAACTAGAACGTTAAAAGCCACACTGAAAACACAAGAATGAACTTCACTACTGAATTTCAGGGCGGAGTTTATGCGCAAGTTTTTCATAGCTGCCTGTACCATTCTAATACTATTGCTGCATGATCCAGCTGGGTGGAGCTTCAGTTGGAGCTTCCCTGTTCCATGGGCAATAACATTTTATTGTTCTCTCCGTGTGTATGCATGTTGCCTGATACAGTGCAGTTTCAATAAGAGGTGATTGGGGAAAAAACAATAAATCTGCACGTCCATCAAACTGTAGGGTAAAATAACCTTAAGTTCTGTTCTCTTGCAAAGTGATTTGTAGAACTTTAGTTTTCTTGCACATGGGAATCTGTTCTCTGCTGACTGGAGAAAAGGAGGAAAAAAGAAAAGAAAAAATATTTACTGTAGTCAAATAGATAAGCAAAATGAGGGAACTGTTACCCTGTTTGCTGTTGGTCTTCCCAGTTTTATGTCGGGGGGCCACACAACTCAAAACACTTTCTGTTGAAAAGAACATTAAGAAAGAAAACAATAGAACAATAAAAAATTAAAAGGACATGTATGTATTGGTATTAAATGAGTTACCTAACGGGGATTAGAAAATTGTAGCTAACGATGTAAAATATTTACCCTTTTTTGAGCACAACTTCTGAGTTACATTTGAGTTACATTCTTGTTTCCTTTAGATTTCGCCCTAAGGAGAAATCTACTAGATGAAACAAAATTATGAGTATATGGATAACATGTGCAAATAAATTCTTATTGTAAGCAAGTTGTAATTTTGTGTGTTTCTGTAAGCTATTATAATAGTGAATATAAGTATAGAAAACTTGAGATTTCTTCTAATTTCCTACAAATTTTGTAATAAGAAAAATAACTTTTCAGACACAGGCTTCATGTCCCATTGATCGCAGACCATTTCAAGCAGTATGCAGGCCTGGTGCATTAGAAAAGCAGATAAAGGTAAGTTCTGAACTTATTTTCCTAAATAACTTCTGTTGTAGGAACAGCCAAGTTCCTGCTTCAGCCTTTTATTCACACATCTGTGTTTAAATAAGCTTTCCTAATGAAATAATTATTGCTTTAATGTTTCTATTACATATTCAAAGCTACAGATTTTTCTTAAATATTTTTTTCAAAGCAAGTGTTTATAGTAATAATAATCACAGAGCTGATATTGCTACTTTATAGTATCTTTGAGCATTCCTGATGTATCTAAGAATAGAAGCATAGTAATTGGTCTACAAATATTTAACTAGGGTTTGTAAACAAGTGCTGTATCAATTAGCATGCAATCTTGCCTTAATTTTTTAGCTGAGGTGAATCTCGTATGTTCACAGCCTCAAACTCACAGACAAACACATGATGGCAAGAGGAGTCAGTTAATACTAAACCTTGTTCAACCTAAATTTCTGATTTTTTTCAGCTTTCAATTCTTTTGAATGATACTGCTGTAGAGAGTAGTTTATCAAGTAGGAAAATAAATCATGATTATGACAGACGATCTTGAAAATGTGTATAGAAAGATGCTGATAATTCTGTTTACAGTTTTGAAATTCTGTGGTGAAATTGTGGTTATAAGTAGTTCCTGCACGGTCGGCTTTGCATTTTGCAATGTTTAGAAAACAGAGTCCCACCACCCATTTCTTGTGCTTCTAGAGGCCTGGGTCATCAGCTGCAAAGGAACCACACTGATGGCCAGAGATACTTCCTTCTAGAAAACTACGCTAGCATATTTTATCTTATTTATTTCTAAAGAATCAGGGAAGCAGCTGAAACAAGATAAACTGAAGCATTCATTTGGAAGAGTGTAAAGGCTGTATGAAAACATAGTTTTAAAGGTTCCTTGTTCATAGAACTGCAATATAAACGGGTGGGCAGAGAACAAGGGTCCTGCTCTGAAAAAGAACCATGGGGGCAGTAGGGCTAAATGGAATGTGTACCAAGAGGTGCTGATGCAGTGGTCAACATTTGCAGTGGAGCTGTCAGGACATTGGCACCTTTCCCTTTGTGATACCATGAGAATGCTAATAATTTAAGGAGTTGCATATAAAGCCAGGATTCTAGAATGAGGAAATACAAAATATCTAATGCAAACAGTTGCAATGTAGCCATTAAAGTAACTTCACAGTATGTAATAAAAATGGTAGTGTTTTCTTAGAATTTTGAAGATGTGGAAAAAGCCCCAGTGTTATACAAAATCCAGAAGTTATTTTACTCTGGAGGAAAATCAGATGGGTTTTAATTGTGAGGAAGCATTTGAAATTCAGTGGTAGTTCGGCATTTTCCCAAGCTGAATCATGTGTATTCAGATCAACCAACTCAGTTTAAAAAAACGTAGCTTCCAAATTCTTAACGGAAGATAAGGCATAGTTTTGAGATGCTTGCCATGCCAGTCTGAATGTTCAGGGATTTTTTTGTCTTACAGACTTAGTACGTATCTCTGGCATAGCCAATATACACACTGAGGTGGGTTTTTTTCCATTTCATGAAAATCAAATGAAAAAACATTCCTATCTGCAAACTGTGAGATTAAAAAATTAATGATTTGAGATGGTTTTGAGTCCTTCTGTTAAAGCTTATTTTCTCTGTAGAACTTAGTCTCTGAATAAATTTACAGCCCATGTGTATTGAGATTCTAGACTGGATTGACTTTATTTTTCAATACAGGTTCAGGTTAAAAAACACCTGAGAAGGAAGGAAGAAGAGGAAAACTGTGCCTGCAATAAGGGAAAATACAGCCATGTGAAGATGAGCTTTGTGAGGTTGGTATTCCACTTAATTTCAAGTAGTCTAACTGGAATGTTCAAAATATAAATTCAGCTGTTTTTAAATGTACAATTTGGAGTATTTTAAAAAATTAAGTTTGTTTTTAAATTATTTTCCGTTGGTGGTAGTTTAGCTTTACTTCTATCACTGATGTAATTCCCAATTAAATACTTAGAATAGCAAGGAAGAAGTAAAGAGCAGTGTTATTTCTTGCACTGAGCTCTGTGAAAGTTGCACTTTTTAAAGCAATTGTGACAGATTTCTTGTTAATTTGAATTAAGGTTTTATGGCTAGATCATATTTTAGCAATATTAATCTTTGTCTTTTGTTATCTAAACAGACATCCCCTTTCTTTTCATCATAAACATTGATGGTGTTCCTCTTTTACTATAAAACATAGTAGTCAAGAACTGATTTTATTCTGGTGAGTTTGAGAGAGAACTGTGGAAATACCATTCCCATTTTGAGAAGCTTTATTTTGTCACACCTGTTGCATTCATTGTATAAGGGGAAGATTAGGATTACACAGACAAATGGTGATAATCTAAAATCAATGTTTAATGGTATGTGTGATATATACAGAGTTCTTGAAATTGATTATCAGGCAGACTTCACTACAGAGAAAATAACTGGAAGTAAATTACTTTTTTAGGCTCTTATTAGAAAATAAGGTTGATCTTTGCACCTCACCATTCTGAATCACCATGGAGTTTGATATTCTTCAGAGTATTTATGCAAGCAGGTTATAACATCTTTCACACGTTGCCATGAATCAAGCAAAACTAAGCATTCAGATTTAATGCAGGATATTAACTTTTGTTGTGTAAATGGATTTTCTGGTTTTCTATCTAAGCTTTTTGACTCACTGTGGATATTAATATATGGAAGATAATATACATGATGCAAGTTCAAGTTTTAATAGCAGTCAGAATTTGCTTTATGTGCACAAAATAAAAATACCTTAAAATAGGAGCTGATTTTGTTTGGCTGTATATATTGTTAGCTTAAATATGCCTAGAAATACCTTTTAAATCTTCTGTTAATCTTGCAGAAGAGCTGTATGTCCAGACAGAGGACCATTAACAACCAAATTGAGTGAAGTTGTGAAGAAAAAATACAGTAAGTTGGTATTTACCCTCTATTTTCTAGAATTGCTGGTTTTTATTAAGAAACTCTAAGATTTTGTTTCTTGATGGGCCAATTTAGGTTGTTTGGTTGTGGGTTTTTTTTTGTGTGGTGGTTTTGTGTGTTTGTTTTGGTTTTTTTTTTTTTTAATTGCTTACATTTGCATATGAAAAGCAAATACCAAGTGTGGAATTTCAGAGAACAAAATTGCAGTATGTGAATCCACTGTTCTTATTTTGCTGTAAAGACTGCCTCTTCAATTTCAGTCACAAGTGAAGTAGATTTGGTTTCAGCCTAAAGTCATTTTCTGCATCAGACAGTTGGTGCAGAATTAATGACTAGCTTTTATTCACACCAAGTTTTTTTGGTGAGTGTTCAGACACAAGAAGCATTTAGCTGTATTTGGGGGTTGCCATTTTTAGAGTCTTGTTTAATAGGAGTTAGTGGGTGTGTTCATAACACCAGAAACTAAGCAAATACCTGAAGAGATGAAAACTGCTTGATGTATAAAAAGCTAGTGTGAAGGTGTGTGCATTTTGATTTTAGTCAATTTGTGTGCAAACATATTGTAAATACACCCAAGATACATTTTCATTAACCTCCCATTGCGTTAATGATTTTGGCAGACAATTAAAAACTAATGTGCTGAAATTAAGGTCAACGCTTTGTTTCTTATTCCACATAGGTAATACTTTGTATGAGAAACGAGACAAGAAAGCTTTGTCTGTGAAGATAAACAAGGTTGGTTCTGATAGTGAAACCTTTGTAAATATTTTTTTCATGAAAGCTTTTTTAAAACTACCGTTCTGCTTATTTTTAAAGTTAATTTCTTCAATTTGTTAATTGTAGTATAATCCAGGTTTTGTTATTTTGTATCTCTTTATCTTGAAGCAATTAGAATATAGAGCTAGGTTACATGAGCTGCTCTGTCAGATTAAATGTGGTTTTGTGATGGTAAATATTTTCATTTGGATTACAATGCTACATTATAAGATACTGTAAATACTCAGTTTTCATCTTTCTTCACCAAAAGAAGACAGTATCAGCTATAAGCTGTTAGTCGAGTACCATGATATAAAAGATATGAAGGTTTTAAATTTTTTTTTTTTCATGAAAATACCTTTGTAGTCAACCAAGAAATTTGTTATTTGAATAAGCCATGAACGTTACAGTTTGCATGAAGTTTTGTTTTGGTTTGGTTCTTTATTGGGAGATTACTCCCAAGAATGTTTGTTTCCAGGTTTCTTTAGTTCATTAATTTTTGCCCATAACACACGGTTATAATATGCAGAATTTATAAGGAGCTGTAAAGGCTCTGTTGTTTGATGTCTGCCATCTCCTTCTTTCAAAAATATATCATGTCTCCGGGACACAAGCCTGTGGTGGGTGTTTCTTTACTCATAGTTGTACCTGCAATTGTACATGAAAAACTATTGCTACTTTTAATACATGAAATAGTTTTAGGCCGTAAATTTCATTCTGAACTGTACATGTCATCGTCATCCATCATTCTGTCTTTCCTGAAGTTTAAACATTTGGAGGAAAAACAGCCTTTGCCTAATTTGCCTGCTGCATTGATTCATGTATTATATAGGCACGTACTGCATCCTGTGTCTCTTTTCAGTAGCTGTGGCCCAAGGTGTCACTTTTATTTGGCGCTTAGACACCAGAGTTCTCAGGGATATCTTCAGGTTCCAGCCTTCCCCTTCTAAGTCAGGTGTTTAAAAATTTTGGTTCTGCTATTACATAAAGTTAAAGGTACTTTTCATTGAATTGAAGAGGTTTTGAACTGGAAGGATAGGGCTTAATGGTAGGTGAACCTCTAATTTGACTTCGGGGTTGGTGAGTGCTTTCACATCTAGTTTCACTAGTTTACTGTGCACTACTTAATAGCATTAATGTCTCAAATGGTACCTGTTGCAAAAAAAGGTGCATAAACAAAAGTAGAGCCATTAAAATCCTTCAGGAGGAAGTACAGGGCCTAATCACCCAGTAAAGGTTTAAAATTTAAAGGAAAGCACTGATGGACCACCAACCACTTTATTAAAGGATATTTGTGTAACTTCTGGATAGCTTTTTTAGACGGAGAGAGAAACGTTCAAAATGATAGTGTTTTTAAAAGAAAACCAACAGCTTTTTAGAAGAAACAATTTGCACACTGGTGAAATAGGGCATGTTCCCATCAATACCAGCTCTCTGTGCCAGAGCCTGATGGAGTGTATGGATAACAACTTATCTTGTTATGTGAGACATGTATTTGTATACATCTCATTGCAAAGTTTGTTTTACATCTGAGTAAATATATTCTGAACAAAAATTATGGGAGGACTCTGTTTAAATATCCTGATTTTAAAATACCAGTCGTGGGAAATGAACAGGAATGTTTTAGTCGGATTTGAGGTGGCATTAACCCCCTAGATGAAAGGATATAAATGACAAAAATGGGTCAGTGTAGGTAAGCATCAGTCACAGTCTGGAGGATTTTTGTTCAGGTTTTTTTTGCCTGCAGCCAGCTCAGTACACAGCAAGAGAACAGAGGTCACTGCACACCACGCAGAAGGCAATACGCTGGCATACAGTGGGTGGCCAGGTGGTGTTAACAATTGAAGTAGCAGGTGGTTTTAGTTGAAATATAAAGTGGATTCTGAGTATCGTACCTCTGTGTGAGGACCACACCGGTCAATCTTCAATTTTATATCCTACCTGAAGGCAAAGGAAAATCCCAGCTGTTTACAGTACATTTTGTTATTACTCTGAGACCATTCAGTGAACTGCTGTGAAAGGGTCTGTCTGAAGGTGCTAGCACTGTACTAACTGTGGTTCATTAGGTAGCAGAAATGGGAAATGGTAAAGATGAGGCTCGTTTATTCATAATTTCTGTATGGAGCATTAAAGATTTTGCCGTGGAAAGCCTATATGAAATACAAAATTTATCTGTAAAGAGCAGGTGTTGAGAAATTTAGACTGAATAGAGAAAATTTCTTTGCTGTAACCAGAGACCTCATAACTATGGAGATGCTGTGGTGCCTGCTTTTTGTGAGCTAAAGGCTAGCTGACATGATTCAATTTCAGTGCATCTTCATGTATTAAATATTAATTACTTTGGATGTCTTTTATTATTTCTTTTTTTGTAGCCCAGAAGACAGACCTGCTGGAATAAGTGCTTCAGAACTGGTTTCTTCAGCACGCTTCCAGCTGGTGGTAGCAATGAAGAATCCTTTTTCAGCTGTAGAAATAACTGGTTAGTATATACTAGTGCTTAATTTACAGGTGTTACATACTGTAGATGCTGTAGTTCCTTCTACTTCTAGCTATATATATTGCCTTAAAATATTTTAAAGATTGTCTGGATTTATGTTCATTGGTGAAGAGCAGTTAAAGGAAAACCACAAACATTTTAAAATGAGAATCGTTAAGGGCACACTCCAACTTCTGTTGTGTTCAGCATTAAAATACTGAAGTGTGTACTTTTAATCTAATTGATTTAATAGGAGTTACTAAGTTTTATTTTTAGCTCATATTTAAACGCCTCAGTGAATTGAAGTCTTGGATAGAAAAAGTTAATCCTGTTAATACAACAGCAGTTAGAAAAAGAGTTAACAGGAAATACCCTATTTTGTATCAGAAATATTTTTATTCTTCACGTTCCTTGACTCAAACAGGAATACTTCAAACATACATGTATTTTGTTTAATGAGCCTAATACTTAAGAATAGGTGGAAAAAGGGTTTTATTTTTTTTGGTTGAGAAGATGGAAGGAAACAGTCTAGAAGAACGTTATTTGGATAATGTGACCTAATCAAAATGTTGTCTGTATGTTTTCAACAGTCTGTGAATGAAAAATCTTTTTGCCATACATGCAACGGTATTAATATGTCAAATTTGCAAAGTTTCTCCATCTTCCATCTCCCCAGAAGACACATCTCACCTCCTGTTTTCCATTCTGTCTGCCTCAGTTATTTAGGACTTCTTTTATGTTTGCTGTGTCCGCTTTTCCTTTCTGAACAATAACAGTGAATCATTTGGTCACGCGTGTGGAAAGCTCTAATACAGTTAAAGTTTTTAAAAAGTCATTGATAGAAGCAATTACTGAAATAGAAAATTGTCACAGTACAAAGTTAATTTTTACATGAAATTTATAATTCAGTACAGAATTCACAGAAGTCAATGCAGCAATCACACAGAAGAGACAGGAGCTGGAATTGTCCTGTTCATCTGCACTTGCTCGAGTTGAAAGGTATGTGTTTGGTATTCAGAGAGCAGAGGATCTTCCTTTGTATAATAATTCAGGTTTGGGATTCGATTAATTTAAACTCTTCTTTAGACAGAAAATATAGGTTGGTCATGAAACCACACGTTTGTATATGAACTGCTAAATTCTCGTCTTTCCTGCAAGCTATTTTTATGTCAGTAGATTATTTTCTGTGTATCTTAATGCCTTTTTGATACTCATGACAAGTGTAGTAACTCCACTGATATGCATATTAATGTGTTGCTTTTTCACAGAAATGCAAGTTTAAATATATTTTCTATTTGGAAGCTAGTATTCAGTGTGCTTTCAAAATTATTTCTACCATTAGAAATCAGACTGCATTTGCTTTAACATCAATCTGATTCTGATTTCCCCCTCATCTTCCCCTTTCATGGCTTGGTTCTAACAATTCTTTCTGTAATTGTTCATGAAAAAATGCTTCTAGAAAGAGTTAAGAGGGGTTTTATCAAATGAAACAAAACATAAAATATTATTTTTGTCAGAGAGCAGATACATGTTAAAACATACCATAAGAATATTTTCATGAATATAAAGTAGAAGCATAAAAATAACTGATTTTAAAATAACACAGTAAGAAATTGGTTCTGTCTATGGCCTTAATTTCACTACATGTCTCTTCACTCTCTTTGGCATAAACAACGGCTAAAGACAAAAGAGCAAGTAAAGGGACTTTTAATTATAACTAAAAGTTGAACCTAGGATTTAAATAATGATTTTTTTGGTTTAATATATGTATTTCTCTGTATGTAAAGATTCATTCCAACTCGGTGATAACTTAAAAATTGTAGCTGTGTAACTAAATTCTGTTTTTGCCTAAGGTTTGCTGAGAGAGTCTGAATATATATGTATAATTTTTTTTTTGTATATAAGACAAAACATTGTCTCCAAAATTTCCTACAAGCAGCTAAAACAAATAATGTTAATACTTCTGCTTTTCCAGAATTCCTTTAATGTCTTATGGAGCTGAAGCTGAGACTTTTCTTCTCACTTCTGCTACAGTGGCAGGGGTAATTCTTCCATCAAATATCAGGCCTCTGGAAAACTTTGGTAAACTTTTTTTTTGTAAGTTTTATTTATAGCTCATGTGGAGTATTGTTAAAATACAGTCCCCAGGAATCAAAGCAGATGATATAGTTAGTTAACAGAAAAAAAAATATGTTTGAATGCAGTGTGGTACTATCTGAAATTACAGAAGGTGAACCAGACACCCCAAAACTGGTGTAACTGTTCCTAGTTGGAAGATTGAAATGATGAGTGTTTTATGTAATTAAATTCCATTCTTAATTCAGCACTTATTTTCATGTTATGACGTCTTTTCCCATTGTAGAAGGATAGACCTCATTTTGATACATTATGAATGGCTTGACCTGCTCCAGTGGTGTATTGTGCAGTGTGAGGGACACAGCGCAGCGCGGGGATCCCTCTCAGTGTGCCTACAGGCTTTACAGGGCAAGAGCTGCTGAAGGTGCTTGAGCTCCAGGATCTGACAGGGATGTGGTAGAAGAAAAGATGTGGAAGGAATTACCTTTATCCTGTTCCCTTAGCAGCATCTCTCTCCATACTCAGCAAGAGTGAAGTTTCTCTTCCAACAGGCTGCACAAGTTCAAAGTAGTGCAAATAAAAGAATGCTGTTTTTTAAGGCTAGAGTTAATACCTTCTTTGAATTGGGAGTTATACAACTTTCACTTGACTAGTAGGCAAAGAGACAGGAGAGATTTGGGTCTCGGCTTACAAAAATTGTGAGGGAGTGAACTGCTGGAAGGAGTTAAGGAGTAGAAGGGCCATGAAAAAGATGCTTTATTCACTCATATTCTTCTGTCAATAGTGCCAGTCACCTAAAACTACTTTGGAAGTTCTTTACCACACGAGTTGTTTTCTTTTAAAAATATGGTACCTTCTGTACAATTGGTACTGTTGATTTTTGTATCTTAAGTAGTAATTTGATCAGAGGACATCCAAAAATCAAAACTGCTTTTTTTTCACGTTCAGGCAACTTATTGTGTATTTACATGGGAGGTCAGAGGAGGTGGTTACAGTCCTGTGCTCTGTTCTAAGCTTTTAAAGGCTAGTGAGGTGCTTGTGTAGTTAATTCTCTTAGGTTACTGGATTATATCTTTACATTTAATAGACAGTGATATGCTTTTCAATTTTCTAACAAAGTAGTGAGTGGTAGAAAGAGGCTTTTGTGTTCTTACTTACTTGTCTTAATCCTTTCTTATTTTTATATAATCTGTTTAAGAATACATTTAACAAATATTTTAGTGCAGTAGAAGTAAGCGAAGTAAAGTTATAGAAAGAGTTAGAATCAAGTGTTTAAGTGTGATAAATTCCTTTCAAAATCCGTAGCAATTAATCTTTCTTAGCAAGTTTCTGCTATTTGTGTGTGAAATTGAAGCTGTAGAAGGAATTCATTTAAACACCAAATTCTTGATGCTTTCTGAAATTACACCAAGTATAAAACAATTTAATGGGCATCTCAAGAAATTAATTTAGTTCTGAAGTGAGCGTTATGTTCAAATACATTTACTTAATTGTAATTAATCTTTTAATTCCTGAGCTGTCTGTCCTAAGCTTTCATACTTATCAAGAGTACAGTCTCTTCCCTTTGCAATGAATAGAGCCCTTGGCTTCCCTACAAAGCCTTTTGTCAAATTGTGGATAGCATGAAATAAATGAAAGAACTCCGGTGCTGCTATGTGCAACTTACGGGTATTCTTCTTATAGCATTAGGGTTTGGGGTTTTTTTTATGCCTTAGGTTGCCCCAAAACTTGCACTCCTTATTCAGTTTGTTAGATGCTGCAGGTACCCCAAGTGTTTGTGGCAGAGTTTAAGTCCAGTTTGCCATGGAGTGTGCAGGGTCTGTCTGTCTTACAACTGGTGAATGAGTTTGCGCTGTGTGAAATTTGATTTTGTAAAGGTGTGCTATCATTGCTGCTTCCTATGTGATATTTACTGATGGCCACTTAAAAATGTCATTCTCTGTAGTATTGAGGCTTCACTGCCAACAGGCCTGCACTACAGATGACAGGAACTGCTACTTGCTAACAGTGTTGTGTGGTTAATTCGCTGTTTTTCTAACAGCTTAAATACCAACTATCTTTGAACTGCAGCAGTGATTTCATTGTGAGTGCCATTACTGTCCACAACTGTGCCAGCACTGCTTCTAAATGGCGCCTTTAGGTGTCTAACCTATCATTTTTGTTACCTTGACTCTGCTCTTTAAAAAAAACATGTGCACTGAAAAAAAAACCAACCAAACAAAAAATAATTAAAAGAAAAAAAAAAACAACCAAACCCACACATGCTGTAGCAACATTTCACACAAAATCTTAAACTGTTTATTTAAGGATATCTGGTAGACCAGAGGTCGTTTTGTGTTCTTAACTGTCTTTGGATACGTGGTTATTATCAAACTTTAATGTATTCTGATTTTATTAGAATCTTTAGGCAAGGGATACGCTGTCGCGTGTACCCAAGAAGGAGAAGAGAAAAAGCAAACTTCTGGTTCATCTGGTGCTAGAGGAGGGAGGAGGAAATCGGTTAATGCTACTCCCAGAAGAAGGTCTGCACGGAACAGCAAAAATGAGACTCTGGGTCAGTCTCGGAGCTCACCTCGGTCAAGCAGTTCTGCGTGCAGTGCCCCTGAGGGCAGTAACCCATCTCTGAATAAGTTTCCTTCAGAATCAGAGAAGGCTCCTCCAAAACGGAAATCTAAAAGAGCAGTTAAACAACAGACACCTGTGGTTAGAAAGAAACTGAGAAGTTCTGCACGTTCTGAAAAACTGTCCAGTGATTCAGTAGAAGATGGTGGCATTGCTGAGTCTGAAGCAGTTCTAACATTAGATGAAGACCAACAGTCAGAAGATGAAAGCAATAATGCAAGCCTTCCACAGAAAAGTAACTTAGAAACAGAGTCTGCTAATGGACTGGAGAGCTATAGTGAACATGCAGAAGCTGACGAAACTGCAGGAGAATGTGACAAAGATGAAGATACTTCAGGCAACACAAATGTAAGTTTTTCTGTCCAAGAATCTCCAGTACTAACTTCAGGGGCTGAAAATCAGGAATTTGAACTAAAAGGAGTTACTGAAAAAAATGTACATCTTAAGAATCAGGACATCTGTACAAATACTCTTGAACAAATAGAAACAGTAACTAGTCCCAGAGATGAAGCATGTGACCATGCAACTTCTGAAAAAGTAGATCAGACATTGTGTAGTCCTCAAAATGAATTGATGGAGGAGGTAGAAAATTTGGCAAAAATAGATCAACCTGTATCTAGTTCAGAAAATGAACTGTTGGAACATCCAGAACTTTTGGCAAAAGACCAGTCATTAGAGAGCCCCAGAAGTGAATTGCCTGAGCATGCAGAAGCTATAGAAATAGATGATTCCAACGCTGAAATAAAAACAGTAGTAGACTGTGCCAGTCCAAGTATTCAAAAGTTAAAGGTTGCCCCAGATGAAGAACCGGACACATTAATACACAGTCCTTCAATGGACACTACATCAGAACAATCTTTAAAAGAGAATGCCATGCCAGAAAGTGAAGGGGATAGAACTTCAGAGTCACCCCAGGTAAATGCTGAACAAAAACATTTTGGCGAAGATAATAATGAAATGATACCAATGGATTGTGACTCATTTTGCAGTGACCAGAATGAACCTCAGGTTGAGCAGTTACCACCAGTTGAAAGTACAAAGCAAGGAGAAGTGAACTTTTTAGAATGTGCTGTGGGAAACTGTCAGTCAGTTTCAGGACTTCCTGATGAAAAAGATGAAACTATTCCTCAAGAAAGAGAATGCCAGTCAGAAGTCAAAAAAGATAAAAAGACTCGAACTAGGAAGTCTAGATTTCACTCACCATCAACAACTTGGTCTCCTTCTAGGAGAGAGGACAGGAAATCTCAGTCACCATCCCCTAAAACAGAGATGACCAGACGCAGGAGCTCACGATCTCCCAAGAAAGAAACTGTCAGGGAAGGAAGGAGATCCTTATCTCGGTCTCCAAAGAGAGACTCAGTCAAAGATGAGAAAAAAACACTGTCTCGATCTCCCAAGAGGGAAACTGTCAGGGAAAGCAGGAGATCATCTTCTCTGTCAAGAACTAAGGATTCATCTCCAAGGCAAAAATCTAGATCTCGAAGCAGTGATAGAGATAGTCAAAGGAGAGATCGTGACAGAGAGAGGAGGAGTAGGAGGTGGTCTAGGTCACGTTCACGTTCTAGGTCAAGATCACGCTCTAGGACAAGAAATAGAGGTTCTTCATTCTCTAGAAATGAGAGGGACAGTCATTCACCTCGATGGAAAGAGAGATGGGCAAATGACAGCTGGAGGAGTCCCAGAGGAAATGATCGATACAGAAGAAATGATCAAGAAAAACAGAATGAAACTCTTAGAAAAGAGAAGGACAATACAGAAAAAAGTAGTGATGATCAATATTCTTCTGACAAGCGGAAGAATGATTGTCCAGACTGGGTAATGGAAAGGATAAATTCTGTTCCAGAAGTGAGGAACAGAGAGAGAGATAAGCCACACTGGGAAGACAGCAGGCATGATGGTTCAGGACAGTCTTGGAACAAAAACTTTGGTTCAGGTTGGATTCCAAATCGAGGAAGAGGTCAGCGTGGCCGAGGTGGGCGTGGAAGAGGTGGTTTCACATATGGAGACCAGAGTGAAAATCACTGGCAAAATAGAAAACCTCTCTCAGGGAACTCAGATTGTTCTGGGAATGAAACGTCAAGGTTCCCAGAACAGCAGCCATACAAACGTAAGAATGAGCAAGATTATTCTTTTGATACACCTGCTGACAGGTCTGGGTGGACATCTGCATCCAGCTGGGCTGTAAGAAAGACTTTACCTGCTGATGTGCAGAATTACTATTCAAGAAGGGGACGCAATTCATCGAGCCCACAGCCTGGATGGGGAATGAGACAAGAAGAGGAGACACCCGAACAAGGTATTCATGGTTTTGAAACACAACAGTTTAGTCACAGCTGCAGCAGCTGAGTAAAATCCTTGTCACATTGATCTGCCCCGGGTTGATTAGTTCTTCAGAATAATTCACAGCGAATCTCTGGTCACTTTGCAGTATGGAGGGTTGTAGGTGTGGAGTCTGGGGATTTCGTGCCTTTTGGTGGTGCTTTGATGGCTTTTTGGTTTTGCTTAAAGTCGGATGTAATTTTAAGGACTGCTTCTGAAGAGTGTTTCTGAAGTAAACCAGTTTGGTTGGAGAGAAAGCATATCCTCTCCATGGTGACTATTAACATCTGCACACCTTTTTAAAAGGGTAATTTTTTTCACAGAGACTTGCATTTGCCTGTGCAGACCCACACAGTAGATTCTAGAGATGACAAATCATTATGTTGATGTTTATCTTGCTTCTAAAGAAGCATTTTCCTCTTTATATGCTTTAAAAAGTCTAGGGAGATTTATGAATGCAAAAAATGGTACTTGTACTGTACTTCAGTATTAAAATTCCTCTAAAGCTTCATTGGAAGTCATATAGAAAAGGTAACTGCCTTGACAGAAATAAACTTTTGGTAGAAAGTTAGTTAACTGTGGATGAGATGGATTCTGAATAGCTAAGAAGTCATCCACAGGTTATTAATGATGTGAAGTAAAAGACGGATGTGAACTGTACTGAAAAACTAAAATCCTGTTCTGAAGGCAGCCACACTTGCACTCCCCTTCGCCTCATTGTTTTGTCTTTCATTTTTATCCAGTTTCATCTTACATGCCAGCAGTTTTCTCCCGCTTTTCAGAGGCCACTGCATCAGTGGCTTCTTAGATCTGAGGTGACTTTGTTGTTCAGTCTGCTGCAGGCAAAACTTAGCAAACCTTTATTTAACGTAAGGTGAGTTGCAGACTTTATTTCACATAGCTCAGGAACAATGACACTGTTATATTCACTTCTGGAACATGACTTCATCTGAGAATTTTACAGCAGTGTCTCAAAACTGGATAGAATGGGCTAGGTTGGCATCATGACATGGTCCCAGGCAGCCTGGTTTTGCTCTCCTTGCTTGAGCAGGGAGGGTTGGACTAGATGGTTTCGTTGGATCCTTTCCAATCTCAGGGATTCTGTTGTCCCATGATCTTTAAAAAAGGAGATTGGGGGTGAAGCGTAACAGTTGAAATCCCGATCCCTGTGAATTAGGGGACAGGGTCCCTCAAGGAAGATCTTTCAAGGGAAGGACTTCTGAATTATAATCCATCAGCTGTTTCTCAGAACTAACTTTCTGACTTCTGGAAAGTTTGCTGCCTGTATCTAGACTTTCACTTTTTGGCTTTTGTTGAAGACAGAGATAGTAAAGTTAATTTTTAAAAGAAGTCCTACTACTCCAAGCGGTTATTTTTACATCTCAGCTTTACCTGTTATACCAGTACAGGGGGTTTGAACAGCTATTTCGGAATAAAACATCTTTTAAATTGTTTGAGGATGACTTATTATTCATTGGAAAAGGAGAGAAGAAAAAAACAAACAAACAAATGAAAAAAAAAAACAAACAAAAAACCAACAACAAACAAACAAACAAAAACAACAACAACAAAAAACAACAACACAGACCAACAGCCGTTAGTTAACAGAAATGGCTACAGTGAGACTCTGTGAATCAGGCAGAGGAGAGCAGAGCATTGCATAATATGTGTGAATGTGGGACTAACCTTCTGCAGAGCCTGGATAAGTTATGTTGTCTTCCTGCTCTTTGGGGAAGAGTAACTGTGTCATTATGATGAAATAATTTATTAGCTCTGCTGTGGGAACAAGTAGAGAAAACATTCAGAATAAGGGCTTCCGCAGTAGCCTGAACTTTATAAACTCAGAAACTAGTGTTTGGCTCTGTGACCTGTCTGGTGATGAATGCAACGATGTGAAGAAATATCTGTGAAATATTCAGATGATAGAAAGCTTTTTGATGCTCAATACTTCATGAGGAGTTGAGACACCCTGCTCCACTTTTGCTTTATAAAGTATGGGTTTTCTATGTTGTATACTGTCTGTTTTTTCTTTTGATAGATCCCAACCTCAAAGACCAAGGCAACCAGCAAAGTGATGGTTCTCAGCTACCAATAAACATGATGCAGCAACAAATGAATGTAATGCCACAGGTGAACGCACAGCACCAGCCCATGAATATCTTCCCGTATCCCGTGGGTGTCCCTCCTCCCATGATGAGTATGCAGCGGAATCCTTTCAGCATCCACCCACCAATGCCCATGCATCTCCCTACCGGAGTGCCTCTCATACAGGTAGCTGCTCCCACAAATTTGTCTCAGGGATTACCTCCGCCTCCACCTCCACCCCCACCATCTCAACAAGTCAGCTACATTGCTTCACAGCAAGATGGAAAACAATTGCAGGTATGCTTTATCAGAAGCCAGGGGAGAGCAGTGTTACAGCACTACCAGTTGCTTATACTGAATACCACAGTCTTGATAAATTTATACTTGCAGTTACTTTCTGTCTTGCCTGTCTTCTTCCACCCCATGTCAAATCTAAATGGAAGTATCCATAAGGGTAGGAGTTGGTTTGTGCCTGTAGCTTTTAAAAAACACTACACGACACCGTGGCGGGGGCTTTGTGGTAACGAGGTGTCCCAGCTGGTAATGGAACACTGGAACATTTCATCGGTGTTATCCGCCACCTTTTTATTCTTAGAACTGCCCGTTTCCAAAACCAGGTTTTCCCCTTCAAAGCCTGATTTGTAAGCTTTAGAAAATACTTGAATCTCCTTTTAGCAGCATGTGAGGAGTGACCTAAGCTTGTCTTTGTTGCAGTTTTCATCCCATGGGTTATATCAGCAGAGGAAAATTATCAAGTACTGCATGGCATCCATTTGTTCCACGCTTTCATTCTCCAGCTGTCACTGTCTCAGCAGCTTCCACACACACATGCATTTTCTGTTCTGTTTAATGATGTTTTGAGCCTTTTTGTTAATAACTGCCAAGCCTTCTTTGGTATGTTTTGCTTCCCCCTTTTTGCCTGATTATCTTGCGTGCCTGGTTTTGAGACCTAACTCCCTTCTCTAGGTGCAAAAATACTTCTGTTGTGCTGGGGGCATCCAAGACCATCTTTTTCTGCCTTTCAAGAGATCTTAAAATGACCCTTGTGTATGTGAGCTCCTCCTGTAGCCAACTGATTGTATTAAGAGCTTTTGTATCAGGGAAAGGAGTATGACCAACTTCCAGGAGAACGTGTAGCCCCACAGCAGATGTAACACTGCATCTGTGATGTGTAAAGGGCTCTTCAGGGGTTGACTGAGTTTTGTGCTTTTCTTCTGTAGCAGGCTGCCTACTGTACGCTAAAAAGCTTTCCTCTGCATTCCAGCTTGAAAAAATGATGTTTTAGAGCAGTGTTTTTCTAACCCTCTGTTTTCATGCCTCATGTCTAAAGAATTGAAGCAAATGGATAGATGGGTTGCTCTGCTTTCAGCTGTTGTTTGTATTCATTAACTTAGAGAAGAAAGGAGTTAAGTACTGTGGGAAACACTGGATGGGGTTACAGGCCATATGAAATTACTTTAGTACTTTGTAAGGTAAAACAGTAAGCTATTATTGGAAGTAAAATGCTGATAGTTTGCTTGTTGATTTGATTAATATCTGCTGTCTGTAATGAAAATATTTTCACAATTGGGAATTCAGTAGGTTTAACCTCTAAAAATATAAGTCAGAACGTAGGCTATGAACATCTGTGAAATATTAGTATGTAGTGCAGCAATAAATGTTTCTATAAAGATTGTGTATTGCTCCAAAATACAGTTGTTAGTAAAAACCCTGTTAGATTTGTTGCTCTCATCTGCTTTTGTCAATTGGTGCCCATGAACCGGAATGTTCTTGGGAGCTGCTGCTGCTTTTTCTTTGAGCTTTTGTTGAACCAGCCCTTGGTGACAGTACAGTGAAAATCACCGAATGCTACAGGACCCCCCCCCCAGGCCCATCCTTCCTGCTAGGAGGAAGGTGAAGAGGCCTGTCAAGCACTAGGATGTTGATTGCAGCAGCTCTGTATCTGTCCCTTCCAAGGAACTCAAGTTCCCATTTCATTATTTTCCATCTGGATAAATGCAGTTGTGAAAGAAGTAGTAGTGATTACCTGCAAGAAAGTAGCATGTAGGATAGCTTGCCAGAAACATGTTGGGAGGACACTTTCTTGTCTTTTGCTAAAAATGACTGCTGGCTGAGGTCTGAAAGTTGCTTTATTTCTCGATTCTGAAGAATCAGCAGTGCCTCTGGTCTTTTGGAGCTGTTGGAAATGCACAGAAAATGGGTTTTTCTGAAGAGCAGATCCTGGCTTCAACCAGTATTTCACCTCTAGCCTCCAGTAGAGTTGTAGGTGTGTTTACATTTAAAATTCATTTGCAAGTCTAAGCTGGTAAGAAACGTGAAAACAAATGTTTTTACAGCAGCGTAGTTATGATGCAGGAAAGCAAGTGTGGTTTAAGGTACCTTTTTGTATGTATGTTTAGGTGCTGATTTTTAAAAACATGTTCATCTGGTTTGCAGAATGGTACCGGGTGCTCCGTGTAGGCTCCTGTGACAAGTGGAGAGGTTCTGTGGCCATGGGCTTCCTCCTGGCTCTTGTGCTAACGCCCTCCGTGCCTGTTTGCAGGATACTTTTTTGCTTTGTCACTGGCATCAGAACCAGAGTCTGGCACCCACGGTGGTGATGTGGAAGATGCTTTACTTCTGTGTGACAAATACACTCTCCATAAATAATGGAGAGTGTGGAAGTTAGCTAATGCTACCAATGCCTGTCATGTTCATGCTTTTTCTGTAGATGCGGAGACTTCTAGAGAGGCACATTGTCATACTGGAGGGGATAATGTATTAACTACTGGTAACTTTTTAAAACAGGGTATTCCAAATGCTGCTCATGTAAGTAATACCATGAATGCTCCAGCCTTGCCTGCTCCAACAGCAGTCCTGGGAAATGTGGGAACAGTTCAGGGACCAAGTTCGGGTAATGCAACGTCATCAAGTCACATCAAGAGCTCTAATGCAGCTGTAAAATTGGGAGGAGAAAAAGCAAGTGTAACAGTGGAAGCTAGTGCAGATAGCTCAAAGAAGGACCAGGCAAGTTCAAATTTCAGTCTATTTTATATACTGTTTTATATATTTGTACCTAAATATATATATATTTTTTTTTAATG